TGGCCAGCTCAGCCCACCAGGGGGCGGGGCTGGCTGGCATGTGGTGCTGGGGGATTGAACCGCGGTCCCTGTGCATTGCCAAGCTTGTTTCAAGTAGGTGCTTTAGACCACTGAGCCATCTCTCCAGCCCCTAGGACGTAAATTTAACGAGTTAGTCTTACAAATTTCTTGGAAAGTAAAGATGGTAGATATGTAGCCTTGGTGTATGAAGAAGCAGCTGATTCATTTTTAGAGTCAAATGTGCATTTGAATTTGGCTGAAAGCTACGGTCTTTCTAATTAGTATTTAGTGTGAGTTCAAAAATTTAAATTGTGAGTCTGTGATGTTTACAGATGGGAACAGTAGCTGATTATTTTAAAGTTCTCAGTCCCCTTTCTTTTCCATTTTAGTGCCGTTCTTTCTTCATACTTTCTGAATGAAAGACTCAATCTTCATGGGAAACTTGGGTGTTTGCTCAGTATTCTGGGATCTACAGTGATGGTCATCCATGCTCCAAAAGAGGAGGAGATAGAGACCTTGAACGAAATGTCTCATAAACTAGGTGACCCAGGTAAGAAAAGAAAGGGTTATTAGTTGTATTGTAGTATAACTTTTTTTGTTTGCTTGTTTTTTGAGACAGGATCTTGCCATATATGTAGTTCAGGCTGGCCTTGAGCTCACTGTATAATCCAGGCTGGCCTCAAATTTGAGGTGATTTTCCTGCCTCTGCCTCCTGGGTGCTAAAATTTCAGGCGTGTGCCACTATGCCCAGCCATATTTTTACTTTCTTAGTTTTTACTAAGAAAATTTTATTTTTTTTGTTTTTATGAAACATAGTCTCACCGTAGTTCATGCTGGTCTTAAATTCACTGTATATCCCAGGGTCACCTGAAACTCAGCGATTCTCTTGCCTCAGCCTCCTAAGTGCTAGGATTATAGGTGTCTGCTACCACACATGGCTAGTCTGTGCTTTAATCAAGGACTTATTTGTGAACACAGGCACAGATTGTTCTACATAGCCTATTACAGAAAATAAAGGTTGCTGTGGATCTCTGTCCAACTGTCTGCTTTTGTTCTTTAAGCTGTTTTTCTAAGGAACATGTCTCACTGCCACTTCCTTAGTTTGAGCCATTATCCCTCTTATCTGCGTATCTGAGCTATTGTACCTACTGAGGCTTTATTAGTTTACATTATTTTATCATTACGTAGTTTTATTTCTCACCATAGCCATATTGTGATCACTTTTCCTACTGTGACTTTATCTTGCTATTAAGAAATCGAACACGATTGTTTTGTTACTTGTGACTCATGTTTTGATTTTGGAAGCATTTGTTTTTGTTTTTGTTTTTGTCACCAATGTCTAGAATTTCCCACTGACATGCCTACATGTGGCTCCATTTTTTGTTGTACCAGGTACTTATTCATTATTTTTTATTTTGAAAATTAATGTCGTACTCTGGGGAACGGAATTGAATTGCCTTCTATGATATTCTTCCACTTTATCTTAGTGGTTTTATTTCTCTTGGTGATGGGGTCTAAACGTGGAGCCTCTGCATGGTGCTGCAGCTTCAGCACAGCTACTCTTAAAGGGGTAAGGGGCTTGCTGGACCACTGAGTTACCAAGGCAGCTCTCCCACCTCAGCCTCCCTGCTGGGATTATAGGGTTGCACCCCAGCTCAGCCTCACTCCATACAGATTCAGCATTCTGAACTGCTTTCTTTTCCTCTTTTCTGGTGTGGTGCAGGGGTTCTTGAACCTGGGGCTTTGTGCATGCTGGGTGAGTACTCTGCTGAGTCACATCTCCAGCCCATTTACTTTGTTTCTTTCTCATGTTCACTTATCTTTTTCTTCGGTGTTTTGGGAGCTTCCTGCTGTCCAGCCTTTGAGTTTCTCTTTTTGGTCTTATGTTTGTATTTTATTTAATTATATGTGTATTTTACAGTAGTAGGGATCAGAAGCAGGGCCTTATGCTAGGTAAGTGCTTTACCTCAGCTCCATACCCAACCCTTTTCACTTTTATGTAGAGCCTTGCTAAGTTGCCCAGAAAGGCCTTAAACTGGGATCGTCTGTCTCAGCACCCCCAGGATTTTGTCCCTTTTCTTTTTCTTCCAGATAGGGTTTCACTATGTAGGTAGTTCAGGCTAATCTTTAACTATGTAGCCCAGGCTGGCTTCAAGCTCACAGCAATCCTCCAACCTCAGGCTTGCAAGTGCTGGGATTAGAGGCAAGTCCCTTGATTGCTATAGCAGGAAAGGCAAGCTAGTTTTTATTGTGGGGCAGACCTTTTCTACTTCATGTCCACTTCACTCTCTATTTTGAGAACGTCTGACCAAACATCTGATGTAGTTAACTCCTTTCCTCTAGGCTTTGTGGTCTTCGCAACACTCGTGGTCATCGTGGCCTTGATCCTCATCTTCGTGGTGGGGCCTCGCCACGGGCAGAGCAGCATCCTGGTGTACATCACCATCTGCTCCGTGATTGGTGCCTTCTCGGTCTCCTGCGTGAAAGGCCTGGGCATCGCCATCAAGGAGCTGCTGGCGGGCAGGCCTGTGCTGCAGCACCCGCTGGCCTGGGTCCTGCTGCTGAGCCTGGTGGTCTGCGTGAGCACTCAGATCAACTACCTGAACCGGGCGCTGGACATATTCAACACGTCCATCGTGACTCCCATCTACTACGTGTTCTTCACAACCTCAGTTTTAACCTGCTCAGCAATTCTGTTCAAGGAGTGGCAGGATATGCCCGTGGATGATGTCATCGGAACACTGAGTGGCTTCTTCACAATCATTGTGGGGATATTCTTGCTGCATGCCTTTAAAGACGTCAGCTTTAGTCTAGCAAGTCTGCCCATATCTTTGCGAAAAGATGAAAAAGCAGTGAATGGCAATCTATCTAATATGTATGAAGTTCTCAACAATAACGAAGAAAGTTTGCCGTGTGGAGCTGAACAGCACCCTGGTGAAAATATCTCCCGGAGAAATGGAAGCCTGACAGCTTTTTAAGGAAGAGGTGATTGAAAGGTTAGTCTGTAGTTAGGCTGCAGCAGTGATTTAAGTTCCAGAACGTGGCTGAAAAAGCAGTGTCCTCGGCGTTCTCTGAGACAATCTTCTTTGAGGTTTCACCGATGTGGACCAAGACGTTACTTTTCCTGTATTTAAACAGTGGTAGCTTACTAAAAAGACCTTAGTACGTGGCCAGTTTCTATTAACACCGTGTTACTGCAGAGGTATTCTGCATCTTGATTCTTTCTCCAAAATCTAAATGCACTAGTGACAGTTTTACAAATGCTTTATTTTTTCATTGGTGATGAAGGTCTGAAACGCACATTTGTCATCCCCACTCCACACTCTTGATTGTGAAAATGAACAGAGTTACCCCAATACACTATCTTGTGGTTTACCTTATCTGTAAAGTTGACTCCTGTTTGATGAGTTAAGTTTGAAGTATTAGTTTAAGGGAATCCTTCATTTTTAAATGAAAGAAAGTCCTTTACAAACCAGGTCAGGAATATTGTGCAGGAGTGTTTCTCAGGCTGTGACTGTCCCCTCAGGTCTGTCTCCTGTCATTTCTGTGTGCATCTGAGGCCTCCTCAGCAGCTCATCAAGCAGCATGGCCTGCTGGGCGGGGTGCTGCACTCTACTGTCAGGCTTTTATTCTTTGGTCAGAATCCCATGGTGCCTCGAACCTTCATTGCCAGTTTACATCAACTCTAGTACTTTCAGTATATTTTCATATGAGTTACATTGTTCTTTAGACATCTTAACAATTGGGAAATAAAATCAGGAGACTGGGGAGATTTCATGAAGGTAAGCCATGTTATAGTACAGTTGAAAGTTCTCTGAAAGTCCAAATGTTAAAGTATGTAAAATGCAGTTTCTGCACCAGGTACTTTATTTTGTTGCAGAGTTTATTTGGACATCGTATATTTTGGTCTTTTAGAAAACATTTATGGAAAATTTCCAACATTAAAAAGAAGTGTAATGAACCCCATTCCAGCTTCAAAACTTGTCTACTTAGAGCTATCAAATTGGCCTTTAAAAATATATATTGACAGTATCCTGACCTGGCAGGAGTAGAGGCCTTGTCCCTGTCCCCTCCCCCAAGGTTGCACAGTGGCTGACTTGTCTTGTTCTCCCAGAGATCAGCTTTGTGGAGAAGAGCTACAGCCAGATTTTGTGAAATCTTAATTCCAGGTTTTATTGGTGCTCTGAGTATTAGAAACTTTTCTGCCAACCCTCTTCCAGGTAAGTCTTAATTTTTTTTTTTTTTTTTTTGTGCTCAGGCTGAAAGACCTTTTGCCTGCTAGGTGAACACACTTGAACTGAGCTACGCCCCAGCTTTCCTAGGCATCTTCACCCCACAGACAGAACATTCACCTGCTTGTATGCTGAGTCTGTATTGTGTTTTGTACAGAAAACTAACGTGGGGCCAGTCAGATAGCTCAGCAGATTAAAGCGCCTGCTGGGCAGACACAGGGACCAGGGTTCAGTGTGTTGTGCCCGTCCCCCGTCCCCCCCCCCGGGCTTGCTGAGAGCATGCCTGTAACCCCAGCACTTGGGAGGCTGAAAACAGGAGCATCAGTACGAGTCCAATCTGTGTAGTGAGACCCTATGCTAAAAATAAAAACCAGCTTGCACCCTCTTAGGGATGACAGTGCCTTCACTGAGAATGTGTAACTGATACGAAGAGATTATAAACTAGCTAACATTTTGTAGCACTAGGAATCACAAGTATCTGTAGATTTTATTTGGTATGCCACTAAGACTTACAAAACTTGGTAACCTAGTCATTAACTTCTGTTGTGAATTGTAGACACCATTCCTAATCTGTAGCTGAATGCTGGCCCCAAGTTTATTGCTTCCTGTCACTGGTCACTTTTAGGTGACTCTATAAACGGTAGCTCAAGGTCCCTCAGTCACACTGACAGTGCAGAGAGCAGTTCCTTGTCCTGTTCCTGCTGTCCTCAAAACTGGACTTCGCTGTTCCCCAGCCCAAGTTTCTCTTGAAGGTAGACGGAGGCAGAGTCTTCCATTGTTGGCCAGGTTGGTCTTTCCTCCATCTCTGCTCCAGTGTACTTGGGATTATATCTATTCCCATAATTCTGGTAAGTATACCAAATTGGTGTGTGAGATCTGACGTCACCTGGAGCAACCCCAGCCAGGGGAGGCGGTATGCAGAGGAGATGGGAAGGAGAGCCAGGGATGGTCAGGACAGGACTCAGGTCCTCCAGGCCGGCATGTGGTTATAGTGAACTGGTCCCATGGACCAGCTCCAGGTCATGGAAGCAGGCAGCAAATGTGTCTTCCTCCATGTCCAAAGTGGAGCGGCAACATTTCTCATGTCTTAATAATTGCCACGTAAGTTGGGTGTGGTGGTGCTTCAGAGGTATGTCCCTGAAGCCATCTGAACTAGGAGAGGGTCAAGTGGCAGTAAAATAAGTGCACAAGTAGGTTTCATTAGTTTTATTTCTCTAACTTGTACTCCTTACAAATTAGGTTTCATACTTGGATTTAGTGGAAACCAGACTTAAGTTCATGTCTTCAAAAAGACTGGCACAAAAGAGGGACAAGGACTTAGAAAACACTGTTCATAAAAGATCAGAAAAATCCCTATACTACTAAATAGTCATGAAGCTTAATGGTAATTGGCATAGGATCCTAACACAATTGACAGGTACTAAGTTTACTAAGAGAATGAATGAACTCAGCATTGTTACAGGGTGCAGCCAGCTGCTGGGACGTTCTCTAGGAAACCTGAGAGTAATTTTGTAGGAATGAGCTGGCAACATCCAGCAGCCAAGATTCTCAGGCTATCCTGATTACCAAAAGCATATACAATTTTAGTCTAGAAAAATAAGTCAGTTTTATAAAATAAGCTTTTAGGTCAAAAAGTACCTCTTAAACAAGTACAGAGATACTGAGAAATACTCCCTAACACTCCCTAAGCTGTTTTCAGAAAGAATGGTGCCATCAGTGGCTCCGCGGGGGTGGCCTGCCCCTCAGCTGCTGGCCAGAGACTGGTGGATGGGTGGCTGGAAGCAGCGCACATGCTCCACGGGGGTGCTCTCACCGTCCCCTGACTTCAGGTACTTGTCCAGGATGGCGATGATCTCATCGTTGAGGATCTGGAACTTGCGGATCCTCTCCACCATCTTCTTCAAAGGCTGCAACAGTTGAGGTCAGGGTGTTTTATTATTAACCTCCATACAGGTGTTTTTTTTTGTGACTCCAAATGTTACGATTGTCATATTTTCTTAGAAAAGTTATAGTGAACTCTATTGAAGCGCTATTTTAAATGCTATTGTAACAGTGACTATATTTTTAGTTGAAATGCATTTCTCTGTTGGTTTCACATAAAGCTTTGCAAAACTTGAAAAGTATATTCACCACAAATTAAGAACCAACTGTACGCTAAAAGCTGGGCTGTAAAGATGAAGACTGTGTTCAGTAGGGAAAGAGCAGTAAGCTAGCAAAACATGAGTTCTAGACTTGCACATTTGACCAACCTTGCTATGACAGATCTGGATAAAGGACATTAAAACACACACACACTGGTTGGTGGTGGTTCCCACGATGGTGGTAAAGCAGGAAGCATGTGCCCTGGGATGACCGCCTGCGCTGAAGCAAGCACCCTTCAGTTAGGCTAAGGAGCTCTCAGGTTGGCACCAGACCGTGGCAGTGAGCAGGAGCAGAGCAATGAAGACCTTGGGAATAGAATCATCTGCATTGTTATTTTAAAATATTAGAACTCAGACTTAAATTGGCAGTTATAGCCAAGATCGGAAGAAACTGAAAAACATGAACACCTGACTTTTGGAGCGGAAACCCAGCCGATGAGCTACAAGTTGCAGTAAGTTACCTACAGACATGCAGCAGCAAGAAGGAAGAGCTGAGAGACTGACAGGGTGGATACCACAGTGCTGAAGGTGCCCACACTGGCACCTGTAGTTCTGTCTCCCAGAATAGCCTTGGTAGGCAGAGATGCTACGGTTATCAACTTGAAGACAGCAGAGAATGCCTCCAGACCCAACTGCAGCATGGGCAGAGGACTTTCCTAGCTGGAAGCAGAAAGGCCCTGGCAACACACGATGCCAGAAATGAAAGATGGTTGCCTGCAATGCCTGGAAGGAGCTGTGTGAAAAGCAACAGAGAATGTGGGACTGGCAGTCAGCAGGAGACAGGGACCTTGTTCCTCCAAATCCAAGGACCTGAAATCAGCCACCTGCCTCCAAGAGTGACAGCAGATTCATCCCCGTGTCTCCAGGGCAAATGCAGCACCACTGCATGTTGACTAGCTTTGTGAGAGTGAGCAGAGGATTGGAGAACCGAGCTGACTTAGATGATGTGAAATTGATGGTGACTGACAGTGCCATTTATGCCATGGAGCGTGTGCTGATGCTACGGTCACAAGAGAGCTAGCACAGCAGGGAGTGGGACAGTAAGAATGGCTAACGCATCCCACAGAACGGGAAATAGAAGAAAGGCTACATGATTGATAAAGATCACTCCAAACTACACCGAGCAATGATTCTATAATTCAACTATAAGGAACCCATAAAATGCCAAAGACGGCACATCCTGAGTTATACAGAGAAGACTAGAAGAGTGTATCACATGAGTGCAGATCCTACAGACAACATAAGTTAGTCTCTGCACTCTGAAAGAATATGGGAGCTTGTTTTTTAAAATCTGCCAAACTTGCTTGCCAGTTACAGTTAGGTTCACTTAGGAATGGAAAGGATGGTTCAGTTAACAAAATTTCATTTTGGTTGGGGCAAGGAGCCTTGCGAAGGCCTCTGTCCACGTACCACGTTTTTGATAATCTCATCCTTGCCGTCGTGCTTCTGGACCTTGAGGAGATGGTAGCAGAAGTCCAGCACTGCGAAGCGCCGCTGCTGCCCCAGCAGCACAATGATCATGCAACCGGCCCAGTGCAGCCCATCGCCAAAACACTGCCTGCAAGCAAGCGCAGAGTGTCAGAGGACAGACAGACTCTCAGGAACACTGTTGTGCAGTTTCTGCAGATCCCACTCTCAATTGCTGTCCACAGCCGGAAGCAGCATCCCACATGGCTGTGGTTTCCTGGTTTGGATAAAGACAGTTTCTCAGCTCTGGCATGCTGCCTCCTAACTTCTGCCAGACCTCCATGCTCAGCTGCTGTGTGCAGAGGCTGCCAGAGTGCTAGTCCTGAGTCCTCCCTTCTGTGGCGCTGAAGTAGCGTGGCATACATCTGATCCCTTCCCAGGAAGCCTCTCCCTACTTCTGTCTCCATGTGTCCCCCCGCCCCCCAGGAACTACCCTCTCCAGAGCACTGTGCACACACACTTACTCCACTGTGAACTCGTGCGTCCCCACAGGAATGCAGTACACGAACTGCATGGCACTCCACAGCCTGTGGAACTCCACACACTCATCCACATGCATGACCCCATTGCTGGGGAGAGGCCCGCGCCAGATGGGATCATCCAGAAAGGTCCGGATCCGTGCCAAGATGACCTCGAACATAGACAGGCCACAACAGAGGCGCTCCTTGGTCAGCAAGTCCCCCTCCCTCGCAATTGCAATTTGCTGCAGAAAGCACAATGAGGGATGGTGTTGTTAGAAACACTTAGCTGGCAGCAGTAGCCAAACGAGCTTCAGCAATTATATATCCTTCAAGAGTAGCCACAGGCCAGTCAGCCAAGGAATCAGCAGCTATTGTGAACTGCTAGTGACCTTGCCTCTGGGCACGTCTGGCAATGTGCTTTGGTCTTCAGTGTGGCTGGGTCTACTGTGATGTGACAGCAATGCCACTATTCACCCTGTAACACCCAAGTTGGCCCCTCAAGATGGCAAGCGCAGGTGGAGGTCAAGGAACAGAAATGCAGTGTAAGCAGGTGTGGAATCAGAACCCGCCTTGATGCTGTGTCTTCTCTAAAAGTAGCCTTTCCTCTTTATGAAGGGAGGCACAATGTTCTGTGACATTAGCTATGTCTGTGTGAGTTGCCAAGAGATGTGAGGAGCTCACAGAGCTCGCGCCCTCGAGAGTGGTCTCTAGAGCCTTCCCCTTAAGCTGGGGTGGGGGCTGCTGCCTACTGGATCCCAAGAGGATGTCTTGACTGCCCCTTCCCCCCACTGCAGGCATGCCTACCTGCGGGGTCCCCAGTCTCTCAATCAATGGGACGAGGTGCAGCGGGGCGTACTTCGATTCCAGCCTTTTCATTTTGGCATCAAGCCTCTCCCCCTCTGCAGAGGGAAAGATATTTTACTTTAGTTTTTGTAAGAAGAAATACTGTGAAATTTCTGCTAAATCAACATGGATATAGATTCTCTTTGGGAGGAAGTTTTGCAGAAATAATGCTTTGATCTCTTAATTCAAACTGACAGATTTTCTTAATGCAATGTTTCCACTTGGGCTGTACCTTCAACTGAGACTGGTGTAACTCCCTCATGGAATAAACTGAAAAGAGCACAAACAACAAGGCCCAACAGAACTGATTTTGTTAAATATTCAAATCTGAGCTATACCGGAGGAGTACAGCAAGGCTCTTTAGCACTCGTCTGCTGAGACCACAGTCAACTCATGGCCACGTTTACTACTCACTCCTCTGCCATTTGGAAGCAAATCCTAGATGTCATTTCAGCAGGAACATTTCACTATCTACTACTCATTTAGTTAGGTAAATCCCTCTACTTGTCCCCAGCTATGATTGAACAAGCCCTGAAGTCACCCTACACAAGCAGCACTGTACAGAAGGCTGCCTGGACTGCAGAGTGGAGATACAGGCTTACCTTTTACGTGGACTCGTGGCAAGATATTCTGGAAGGGGGCCGCATGCAACAGGTCACACACCTCTTCTAAAGACTGCAGCAGAGAAAGGAAAACCACATTAGGAAGTGCTGAGGGCCCTGCTGAAGACAAGGGATGCTCTGGCCATTAGTGTAAAAAACACCGAGTTGTCTCTCAACAGGGAGGGGTAATGGAAATATACTGTCACGGGAGGGTGGGAGCTTAGGGTCCCTGGTGAGCAGGTGGCAAGAACAAAGCAGGCCTAAGGCTGCTGGCCGCCATGCGGGAAGATCCATCTAGGGCATAGAAAGGGAGTCCAGTCCCGAGATGCAGTCCTTCTGGAAGCTTTCAGTTCCCAGGTGTGTCACACCTGACCTTGGCTCCCCGAGTGTAAGCCAACAACACATCGTCTTGTGTAAGTAGTGGTCCACAGCTAAGCCCCAAGCAGTGTGGCCCCCTGTGGCTACACCCTGTGGTATGCTCTAGGCACTGGATGCCTGTCTTGAAAGCACACCTAGCAAAGTTGTCAGGTCTGCAAAGACATGCTTAAGCAGTAACATGGCAACAGTCTCCCTGAGCAGGTGGGAAAAGCCATTCCTGAAACAATGAACTTCACGGTGCCGTATAACACTGCTTCTGAGGTCCCCACTGAAGCCACCTCCCCCCAGACACTTCTGGCCCAGCGTGAATGGCTCGGACAGACAAGGGAGTGAGGCTGTGCTCACCAGGCTTTGCTCAACCAGCAAGCAGAAGAGCACGGCATTGCCCACCTCCCGCAGGTTTTGGAAGCACACGGTCTTCAGCTCTGCATACTCCACGATGTCCTTCAGCTGGTGGTGGAAGAACTCCAGGATGCCTGTGGGGGTGAAGGCAGCCACAAACTGTGGAGGCTGGTGGGGCGGTGACCTGGCAGCCTGGTACTCGGCAGCTAGATGTGCTGCTGCTGCTGCTGCTAAGGACAGTGCAGCATCCAGGCTGTCATCCCGAGGTGACACCACCTCTGTAACCTCCTCTCTTCAGAGAAGGTGGTGACAATAGCACAACATGAGAATTCAGCAGAGCAACAATACCATCAGCTCCAGAGAGGTGGATGGGTACCTGACAGACACACCTCTGTGGCTAACATCACAGTTGGAAAAAGCTGCACCCTTTCTCCCCGGTTCCAAAACACAGGAGGGGGTAAACAATGGCTGGACAATGCAACACATCATGCAAAAATGCAGGTATGAAGACAACAGAAATCCAATATTCCTGATCTGTATATTTAGGGCAAACCAGGGCAAAAGCCAACAGGCTGGTCCAAAATGCATGTGTAAGCAAAAGAGTCTGAGAGGCCCAAATTACCCTGGAGAACAAAGTTGAAGCTGAGCTCTGGGAAACTTTGGGAGCTTTGAAAATGTCAAAAAAAAAGAAGGTGAAAACATCAAGTTCAGACCTCTAGCTCATCCAGAATAAGTGCAAGAGACACAGACATAGAACTTGGAAGTCAATACTCAAATGACAGCAACTGAAATAAAGGAACAACTCCATCAGGCTATATATGAAATCAGTTCACAAATAATCTCTCAGGTTAAAAACAAAATGACAACAGCAGTGAAGAAATTGCTCTCAACATACCTAAAGAAGACACAGATTAAAAAAACAGAGCATAGAAAAAATGTTGGAAACATTCAATGAACAATACAAGAAAGAATTAGAATACATGGAACAGATTCAAACATATCTAGGAAATTAAGAATTCCATTGAAAGCTGGCAAACCAGTTGAATGAAACTAAAAATGGACTTTCAGACCTTGAAGACAGTGTTGCAGCTAGCTAGCACAGAAGGAAAGATCTCTTAAAAATAGGAAGCAGAGACTAGTGTGGCAGGGTCATGAAGAAGAGGCGGTGGTGGGAATGAGGAGGTGGTGGTGGGGGTACAAAACTGCGGTAGCTGACCGCAGGACTGGTGGTGTGAGGTGTGGGAAGGGCGTAGGTCCTAGCCCTCTCTCGGGCAGCGGCCGGGCCTCGGGGCTGAGCGCGGCCGTGGAGCCGCCTCCCCGGGACCCCGGCTCTGCCATGTTCCGCAGGGCGCGCCTTGGCGTGAAGCCAAATGTCAGGCCCGGTGGTGGCGCCCGGAGCTCCGCTGTCGCCAAGCCGCAGCGTGGGCAGGAGGCCGCCAGGCCACCAGAACCTGCTGCAGAGCCCGCTCCGAAGCCAGCGAAGCCCACAGATGTGCCCGCGGCGGATTTCGGGGGAACGGAACCCCAGGAAAAGGCTCCCACGAGCAGTGATGAAAAGATTGGTGGTGAAAATAATGTTGAAGAATCCTGTACATCATCCTCTTCTGTTTCCCAGAGGTCAGTGCTCCTTCACCATCTCCTCCCTTATCTACAGCTAATCAAGATGTTTCACAGCCAAGCCCCATTCCAACAAAAGAGAAACCACTGTGCTCAGACAGATACCGAATATACAAAGCCCAGAAACTACGGGAAATGTTAAAAGAATTGAGAAAAGAGAAGAAACACTGGAAAAACAAATATGCCATAAATGAAAACCAGGTGCCACCAGATCGTTCAAAAATGACTATGAGAGACTTCATATATTATCTGCCAGATAACAATCCAATGTCTTCTTCACTGGAACAAGAAAAGAAAACTGAAAAATCATTGACTCCAGTCCAGACAAGAGGCACACAAGACAGCCAGAGTGCTCTTGATGCTGAAGACAATGACGCAGCGGAAGGGGAGACAGATGATGGCCCATTGCTGGTACTGAGAGTGAAAGTGGCAGAAGATGGTTCTATTATTTTGGATGAAGAAAGTTTAACTGTGGAAGTTTTAAGGACAAAAGGCCCCTGTGTTGTTGAGGAAAATGACCCTATATTTGAGTGTGGTTCTACAACTACATATTCCAGCTTTAGGAAAAACTATTACTCTAAACCATGGTCAAATAAAGAAACAGA